CTTAAATACCCCTGCTTTGTTACCAAAATTTACTGACACCCCATCAAAATAGCAACAAATAAGCTTGGGTCCTTCAGATGTATGTTGCATCTTTTTCTGGTCAAGTTCATTTTGGATTGCTTCAAAAATGGCCTTTGAAATTCCATCAGCAATAGCTGATTCTAGGAACACCAAACTTATCATTTTCGTAACAGGCACACAATGACTGACAAATCAAAGATACACAATTTCCTGCTCAATCACAGCCCTATCAGTGCTGCCATCAGACAAGACACTTCAATATGTTGCTCTCAAGATGTCAGCTATCATCTCGTTTCTCATATAATGGGCTATCCAGCGAATAAACAGTTTACAACCTTCAATATTGAAGTACTGCTTACCAACATCAACACCATTTTTGCTCGGAATTTCAAGAATAAATTCATAGTCACTGAAGGGTTTCCCTTTTTTTTTGCAACACTGTATGCAGTGTTGAAGAAAACCTTAATCTATTTAACTGATCAGGCTTACATTGGTGCTTGAGAATATATTGTCAAAGTTAAGTGTCTGACAATAAATCTTTAGACTTAAAATTTGGGTCACTTTCATGGATCCACTGCTTTAACCAAGATAATTGCTGGGGTGTCACTTCGTGTATTTTTATTGGGTCTATTTTAAGATTTTGTGTTCCCCTTACAAATGCACTTTTTTTTTTCTGAATGGGTGGGGAACTTCTGGCAGTATGTACACGACATCAGACCAGTTAATTCATCAAAATATAGCCATGGTCAATTGATTTTCCAGTGGGGCTTAAATTTCCGTTCCCGTTTTTCACGATCATATATTTGGTCTTTAGTGTGATCTTGATTTCATATCTTTTGTTTTGTTCCCAGGGAAGACGTTGAAGACCGTTCATCATGTTCAGGGTTTTTCTTGGAAGACGTGACACCAAAGTGAAACAGACTCATTTTGTTCGAAATTGTCTAAATGATTTGTCACATGACTTCTTGCAACTATTTATAACCTTGTGTTTCCAAGAAATACAAGGTTGAAAATAACTTTTATCACTCGTTGGCAAGGTCAGGGATGAAACATTTTATTATCTCAATTTCAATAATAGTATGGCTTTGAAATGACGATACTGATGGTTAAAAAGGTCGGCAAAGTTAATTTTTATTTTCTTTCAAATCGAAGGTCCGTCAGGCTTAGTTACATGTAGTAACCAAAATGAAAGTCTGATTGCAACAGAGGAAGGTTTCTGACCACTGCTAATTTGAACCCCTGCAAGGGTGGAGAAGAGGGGACTGGATCGTAACCTTTGGCTAGCAAAGATGATTCCGCCAGTTAATTCTGCTTTAGTGGGTGGTTACTTAAAAATTATCAAAAATAATATTTTTGCAGAGTGTTGCGTCTTTAACATTGATTCCTGGTTTATCGGTTGTCGCTGACTTTACAACATATTGTACAACACAAGATCGGAGAGCTCTTACTCTGGTTTCTGTATTTTTATATAATCGCGGACAGGGAACCATAATTTCCAGAAATTCTCCATCTGGTTTCCATTTTAAAAAGAAAAAGAGTTGTCGCCCATACAATTCTCCCGTCATTTAAGAATCAAAATAAGACGACACTACAAGCAAAATTGATCCGTTCTGCCAACAGACGTCGAATTTTATTAAAATGTCTAACTGCTTATAAAGAGGAATGATAGCGAAACCGATCATGCCAACTGATCCGAATGGAAAATAAATATGTTATGAATTAGACTTGGGATTCCTCCTAGAATTTCACGGTATTTAAAAAGGTGATAAGTTACGAAGTGAGATACCTCTCTATATAATTCATCACTGACTGCTGTGAATAGTAAACTTGGAATTGATAGTAAATAGCAAATACGGGTTATTTCTAGTATATTTATGTTAAAATAATTCAGAAAAACGCGAAAATAATTGGAATTAATAGAATACAAAAAAATAACCAATTTTGGAAAAATGGGGGAGGGCTAAAAAAAAATTGTCTTGTCCTTAAGTACCTATGATCTTTTTGCCTGAAACAGTCCAATTCACTATTTGATTCGTTGTCATGGGGTCAGACCTATAATCTAACAGTCCCATAATCCGACAGTCCTGTAGTCCGACAGTCTTATAATCCGACAATCCTATAGTCCGACAGATCTATAATCCGACAACCCGATAATCCAATGCGCGGTCACTTGTCTCTGAAAAATATGTATATATAGACATGTAACGTTTGTAAATTGGTATATTTTTTCACACAGAAAATTATCAAATCAGTCAGTATGACGTCTTGTACAGGACCGCACTAATCCCATACGAAATGGAAATGAACGCAGCGGGCTAAATTCAATCGACAGTCCTCAGATGAATCCGCTAATACCCTTGAACGGTGGAACGGAATCCAACGAGTTATGTCGAATGGGGCTAAAACAGTAAAAGGCCAGTTAAATGATTAATATTAGGGCATTTTTTATGCCCCCGCTGTAGCGGTGGGGGCATTAAGTTGTATCCTTGTCCGTCCGTACGTATGTACGTATGTACAAAATTGGTTTCTGTTCTCGAACTTGAGTTTGCCTCAACCAAATGTTATGAAACTTATACACACTTCTTATTACCACAAAACACAGATCAAGTATGAATTTTGGTGGCGTCACTTTAACCGTTCTAGAGTTATGCCCCTTTATAAATGGAAAAATTGCAAAATTTTTATTTTCTTCTAAATATCAAGTAATTTATAAAATTGGAGTTATCTTCCTTTGTCCATGATTATAGTTGAATCAACTACAATCAATGCTTTATACAATGCAATGTTTAATTTTGACTTCCACTGATAAAACACAGATCAAGTTGAATTTGGGTAGTGTCACTTTAACCATTATTGAGTTATGCCCCTTTATAAATTGAAAGATTGCAAAATTTTAAGTTTCCATTCTGTAACTTAAGTTTGCCCCAACTAAACATTATGAAACCTATACAATATTCATTACCACAAAACTAAGATCAAGTACAAATTTTTTGTTTCCGTTTTCTATCTTTAGTTTGCCTCAACCAAATGTTATGAAACTTATACACAATGCTTATTACTACATTATACAGATTAAGTACCAAACTTGGTGGAGACACTCTTACCATTCTTGAGTGATGTCCCTTTATAAACATAAAAGTTGCTGAATTTTTCGTTTCCGTTCTCTAACTTTAGTTTGTCTTAACCAAATGTTATAAAACTTATACACAACCGTTCTGGAGTTATGTGTGTTTACAAATAGAAAATTGCTGATTTTTAGCTCACCTGGCCCAAAGGGCCAAGTGAGCTTTCTCATCACTTGGCGTCCGGTGTCGTCGTCCGTCGTCGGCGTTAACTTTTTACATTTTGAACTTCTTCTAGAGAACCACTGAATGGAATGAAACCAAACATGGCATGAATGTTCCTTATGAGGTGCTGACCAAGTGTTGTTACTTTGTAGCGGATACATCATCCAAGATGGCCGCCAGCGGGGGACTTAGTTTAACATAGGACCCTATGGGAAATACTTACAAATGTCTTCTTTTAGAGAACCACTGAATGGAATGAAACCAAACATGGCATGAATGTTCCTTATGAGGTGCTGACCAAGTGTTGTTACTTTGAAGCTGATCCATCATCCAAGATGGCCGCCAGCGGGGGACTTAGTTTAACATGGGACCCTATGGGAAATACATACAAACGTCTTCTTTTAGAGAACCACTAAATGGAATGAAACCAAACATGGCAAGAATGTCCTTTATCAAGTGCTGACCAAGTGTTGTGACTTTGAAGCTGATCCATTATCCAAGATGGCAGCCAGCGGGGGACTTAGTTTAACATAGGACCCTGTGGGAAATACATACAAATGCCTTCTTTTAGAGAACCACTGAATGCAATGAAACCAAACATGGCATGAATGTTCCTTATGAGGTGCTGACCAAGTGTTGTTACTATGAAGCTGATCCATAATCTAAGATGGCCGCCATTGGAAGCCTTAGTTTAACATAGGACCCTATGAGAAATATGTACAAATGTTTTCTTTTAGAGAACCATTGAATGGAATGAAACCAAACATGGCATGCATGTTCCTTTTGAGGTGCTGACCAAATGTTGTTACTTTGAAGCTGATCCTTCATCCATGATGGCTGCCAGATGGGGACAATGTTTAACAAAGGACCCTATGGACAATACATACAAATGTCTTGTTTTAGAGAACCACATACTGAATGGATTGAAACCAAACATGGCATGAATGTTCCTTATGAGGTGCTGACTAAGTTTTGTTACTTTGAAGCTGATCCTTCATCCATGATGGCCGCCAATGGGGGGACTTCCTTTAACATAAGATCCTATGGGAAATACATACAAATGCTTCTTCTAGTTCTAGAGGTGCACTGAATGGAATGAAACCAAAACATGGCATAAATGTTTCTTATGAGGTGCTGATTAAGTGTTGCTACTTTGTTGCTGATTTACTGTTCAAGATGGCCACCAGGATTTTTTATTAAATTACAGGACCAATATTAAACCAAATTTGGCCTCACTCATTATTAGGGTATCTGTTATGATTTTAATCTATTTTTACATGATTTCCAAAACCAAAGTAGAATCAGGTGAGCGACACAGGCTCTTGAGAGCCTCTAGTTTAGTTTCTGTTCTCTACTTAAGTTAGCCTCAACCAAATGTTATTAGACTTACACACAATGCTTATTACCACAAAACTCAGATAAATTTAAAATTTGGGTAGTGTCACTTTTACCGTTCTTCAGTTATGTCCCTTTATAACTATATGATATGCAAGCGGGGGCATCATCTGTGTCCACATGTGGACACTATCCACATTTATTGTTTATTTGTTATGATAAACCGGAACAGTAGTGATAGATCCAAAATATGTCTGTTGTGTAGGAAGACTTTTACAGGATTATGATGAACTAATTGGTTGAATTTTGAGTTAAATGCCAGGAATGGCAAATAAACTTACAAAATGTATCTTTCAGAACAACATCCTATTTCCAGCATGTCAGATCGAGTGTCAGACAGTGATGGTGAAGTGGTTGTAAATGTGAAAAGTAAAGTTTGCTGTAATTGTAAAGAAATGTTTGACAGCCGTAAACAACTGATAAATCATGAAAAGCTGTGTGGTCAAGGTCAGATATTATTTGATGTGTATTTAATCTGTTTCTTTCAGATCAGATTGATTTACTGCTATTTCGCGACTTTAATAGTTATATTCATGACTTCATCTTATTCTGAATGCTATACATGTTTTGAGCACAATCGACGCACAATTTCCTTGTTGTTTACTTACAATTCAGTGTTTTATATTGTCCATGTTTTTTCAAGAGCAACATTGAAAACGTCTGGGTTTTTCAACAGATGTTCCAGTTTTTTTTTTAAAATGTGGAAAAAAAAGAAGACATTCTTGGGCTTAAAACTGACTTTTTCTAATTTGTAACTGAAATTAGTGACAGACATTATTATATATTCATAAAAAGTCCCAAAACATATTACTATGTTGATCAAATTTATCCCTTTTCAATTCAATGATAACTTTCTGTTCAGGAAACATTTTTATCATAACCTTGCAATATTACAATACCTAAGTAGTAGACCAGTTTCACATAAGCGACTTATCAACCCTGATCTCGAAATCATATGCACGTTTTAGTTTAAATCCCGCGATAATTAACGATATCATACGTGACAGGGGGCTATCCAATTTACTCTTATATTTGGCAACACAATAATAAATACCGATAATACACATCTCTCTCTCTCTTGGTGTGTGCTGGAGGCAGGTAAACAGATGATACCACTGAGTACACAGTATGTTTTTCCACGGCGAACGTATAGCTATTATGTATTGTATATGTACAGGGATTTTAAACGTGTAGAAAGACATGTGCATTAAATTTTTGTAACAAATGATGTAGTTTTTTTCAATATTAATTTTTTTATACAGCTGTCATTACTTAAATTGATTAATCAGCATGCATTCATGTATACATTTACTTCCTCATAACACATTATATTTCAACGCTCTAACATTTTGAGTGTCTCTAAGAACAGGTAATTCAATTATATATTCTTTAGAACATGTATTTGGTTTTATAATTAGAAAATGTGGACATATCCTTCGGACGTAGTACTAGTAAAATCCTTATTATGTAAAATTTATCTGTTTACTTATTCTGATTAATAATGAAAGAATTTACAATAAGATATCATTATCAGTAATTGAATATCCTGCTTTACCATAATATAAGATCAATGACCCCCTCCTAAATTATTAAAATATATCTTGTTGCATTAACCGTAATATCTCAGTGTAAATTAGGTACATGTATCTTATACAGAAACCGGGTTTACATTTTTATACGACCGCAAAAATTAAAAATTTTTTGGTCGTATATTGGTATGACGTTGGCGTCGTCGTCGTCGTCCGAAGACACATTGGTTTTCGCACTCTAACTTTAGTTTAAGTGAATGGATCTCCATGAAATTTTACCATAAGGTTCAATACCACGAAAGGAAGGTTGGGATTGATTTTGGGGGTTATGGTACCAACAGTTAAGGAATTAAGGGCCAAAAAGGGGCCAAAAATAAGCATTTTTGTAACTTCCAGACAATAACTTGTGTGTAAGTATATGGATCTCTCTGACATTGTACCACAAGGTTCCATATCACAAAGGGAAGGCTGTAATTGATTTTGGGGGTAATTGCCTCAAAATTTTAGGAATTAGGGGCCAAAAAAGGGGCAAAAAACAAGCATTTTTCTAGTTTCATGACAATAACTTGTGTGTAAGTGTTTGGATATTTCTGAAATTGTACTACAAGGTTCCATATCACAAAGGGAAAGCTGGAATTGAGTTTGGGGGTAATTGCCCGAAACGTTTAGGAATTGGGGGCCAAAAATAAGCATTTTTCTAGTTTCCAGACAATAACTTGTGTTCAAGTGTATGGATCTCTCTGAAATTGTACTGCAAGGTACCATACCACAAAGGGAAGGCTGGGATTGAGTTTGGGGGTGATGAATCATAAGGGGGTTCAAAAAAATTTGGGGGGGGGGGATTTTTTTCTTTCTTTTTTTTTCTTTTTTTCCTTTTTTATTTCTTTTAAAATTTTCCATTTTAAGTTGGTTATTTCTGATTAATATTTAAAAGCAAATAATAATGATATGGTAGGAGATACACACCAAACAGGATGTGTAAATTATTATATAATAAGTATTGTGCAATAGCAAGAAATTTTCAATTGCACAGTATTGCACAATAGCAAGAAATCTTCAATTGCACAGTATTGCGCAATAGCAAGAAATCTTCAATTGCACAGTATTGCGCAATAGCAAGAAATATCCAATAGCACAATATTGCGCAATAGCAAGAAATTGTCAGTTGTACAGTATTGCGCAATAGCAAGAAATATTCAATTGCACAGTATTGTGCAAAAGAAGATACTTCGTATAAATTGCTTATTTCTTGATCAATTTCAATGGGGTTTTATTCTTGAATTCTTGGGGCTCTTTAATATGCTGAATCTAACCGTGTATTAAGTTTTTGGATTTTGGGCCCCGTTTTTAAATTGGTCCACATTGAAGTCCAAAGGGTCCAAAATTTAACTTTGTTTGATTTCATCAAAAATTGAATTATTGGGGTTCTTTGATATGCCGAATCTAACCGTGTATTTAGATTCTTAATTTTTGGTTCCGTTTTCAAATTGGTCTACGTTAAGGTCCAAAGGGTCCAAAATGAAACTTAGTTTGATTTTAACAAAAATTGAATTTTTAGGGTTCTTTGATATGCTGAATCTAAACATGTATTTAGATTTTTGATTATGGGCCCAGTTTTCAAGTTGGTCCAAATCGGGGTCCAAAATTAAACTTTGTTTGATTTCAACAAAAATTGACTATATGGGGTTCTTTGATATGCTGAATCTAACCATGTATTTAGATTTTTGATTTTTGGGCCCCGTTATCAACTTTGTCCACATTGAGGTCAAAAGGGTCCAAAATTAAACTTTGTTTGATTTCATCAAAAATTGAATTCTTGGGGTTCTTTGATATGCTGAATCTAACCATGTATTTAGATTTTGGATATTGGACCATAATAGGTGAATGTCCAATTTAAAATTTTTAAGTTCTTAGACCACATTCATTCTGTGTCAGAAACCTATGCTGTGTCAAATATTTAATCACAATCCAAATTCAGAGCCTTATCAAGCTTGAATGTTGTGTCCATACTTGCCCCAACTGTTCAGGGTTCGACCTCTGCGGTCGTATCAAGCTGCGCCCTGCGGAGCATTTTATTAACATCTGTATTAGGGGATGACCATTTGATTTTCGAGAGGGGGGGGGGAGTGTATTTTAGACAAATGAATATCCTGTCCTAGTAAGAGCTGAAAATACATAATTTTGCCCACAGCAAAATGAAAAGAAAAATCTGCATCACAAAATGCAGGAAATAATTGTGTACAAAAGTTAAATAAATTTTCGCGCAGCCAAAAAAAAAAACAAATAGAATGCATAGCAACATGGACATTAAATCGTGGTTGACAGTATAATATTCCCAGGTAGCAACAGATGACAATGAATATTCAATCCGAAAAAATCCTTCTGGCTTCCATCAGAATATCAGATGGTCGTCCCCTTTTCAGCAACTGTATGTAGAAAAGGGTAGATTATTATCAATTGTCACCTGGTGAGATTGTACAAGGTAAAACTAGGATTCCACATGCATGTGGCTAAGGTGTTAATTGACTTCTTAATTTATCAGTGACCTAATATATTGATATAAAGTGACCCCGCTTATTTTTCTAATTTATTCTTCCCGCTAAGTGAGCGACCTCAGCGGAAATCCAAGCATTTCTTCGGGACAAAGGTACAAAGTCAGGCGGCATATTAGATCGTCTATTACTAAAACCTACAACACAACAGTAGTACTCCGTTTAAAAATCTTTTAATGTGTCATTGTTAATAAAGTTGTCTCGTCAATATATATTTTGATTCAAATGATGCTCGTGTACATATAAACGCAAACACTTAATCAGGTGATTGTTTTTCCAGGTCTGCATGATCACTGCTTACATCAACCGTAAGCCCCCAGTAGATGAATTCTCTTGAATTATCGCGTGATTTCACAGTTTGGCAAATTAGGTTAGACATGCGCAGTTAATGTGAAACTGGGTCCCTTTTATAACGGTTTTTAGAACCGAGTACAGGGACTCATAATCTTTTTCATGATGCCTTTTTTTTTTTTTAATCAATAATATTTTGTTTTATTTGATAACAGTAATGAAAAAACATTGGAGCAAGAAAATTAAGCAAAAGCAGTAAAAAGTCAGAAAAATTCAATATACATGCAATAAAATTGAGAATGGAAATGGGGAATGCGTCAAAGAGACAACAACACAGTGAGAAAATCCCGCATCCTGTGGTGGGATTCAGCTGTCCCCTAAACAAGGGGTTAAACATGTTTTGTGAGATCTCAACCCTTCCCCTATACCTCTAGCCAATGTGGAATAAACAATTACATAGCAAATTAGGTACAGTAAAATTCAGTTTAAAAGAAGTCCGAGGCCAATGTTGTTATCAGACGAAACTAAGCAAAATGACAATAATCAAGGATGATTCTACTATATAGTTTAGGGCTGTTAAGCGTCCCCAAAAAAATTTATGTGAATATAAATTCCCAATTCAGGAAAAATAAAATAAAAATCGTTATTTACGGAAATGTTTCCGTCACCGATTTAGGCAACTACAATTTTTTCAAAGTTTGTCGTCTAAGCGTTTTAAAATCTGGATGAAAATGTTGTCAACGATCGTGTTTTATTAACAACGATTTAATTATGTCAACATGTGGTAAACGGATTCAATTGATGAAAATGAAATGGGAGTATTTGATCTCGTAAAAGCAGATCGCCCAGCAGGTCGCTAAACAAGATGCTTTTTGTCAAAAAAGGTCTCATTAAAGCAGACCTAGGCAGAGAGCAAAATTTCATTTTTGTTATAACATTGATGAATAAATTTTAATGGGTGCTGATCTTGTAAAAGCAGATCGGCCAGCAGAGCTGGTATATGATATGATGAAAACCTTTTTTTGTAAAAGAAATTAATTTATATTTTGTCAGTCTCTATTTCCTCAAAAGACAA